CTCTTTATATTTTTCTGTTAATCTTAATTTATTAGTTAATTGCATGAATAATACATCTCTAAACTCTTATCTTATATTCACTGCTTGATTAAATTGGTGAGTCGAGAGTAACTGAACATGTGACTGTTAATCTTGATATTGATTGTAGAACTTGCACAACGATAATTAATACTGTAATTAAATTGATCGAGATTGGAATTGTTTATGACTATTGAGGCAAATCTTATTAAAATCCATCTGTCACATTAATTATTTTTAAATTAATTTCCTACCGAATATTATGAATTTTGGCGAAACGGTGCGTTGTTTAAATTAGATCGCTGATTCCGATAGACCCCTTCCCCCGTTTCACATTATTTTTGGTATCAGAGCATGGTTTTAGGGTAGGAAATTTTTATTTTTATTTTTTAGATTAGTCGAGTCTTTTATTTAAAAAAATATCTCATTCATCTCATCTAGTGTTAGTGCATGCCCACTCGCACGAGCCTACCTAATCGATTAGGTGAGTCTAGTAAAATGTCTACTAGTCCAACATGTCAATTGAAATCCTTAAGAAATTAAGTGAACTAAGAAGACAAATAGATAACGTAGCTTAAGAGAGCAGAGCCACCAGCGAAATACTTACTAGGCTTGAAAGAGCGCATGTTGCAAACCCGCCTCTGCAAGGTCAAGGTCATGGGCACATCATTCATCAACCCCCACCTCAACCTGTGCCTGATCCACCAACCTTTGATGGTAAGCTCAGTCCACAAACTTTCTTGAATTGGCTGAAGAACATGGATCGATACTTTGACTGGTATGTCATGACGGAACCAAGAAAAATTAAGTTTGCGGTAATGAAACTCACTGGACCAGCCTGCCAATATTGGTCCAAATTCGAAATATTAAGGTATATGAGTGGTGAGTTACCAATTTTAACTTGGTAAGAAATGACTGATGAACTTAAAAGGGAATACCTTCCACCAGTTAAAATTAATAAGCCGCATATGACAGAATCAAAATCTATTATTGAGAAAACCGATAATCAGGCCGTAGATTTGATAGAAATTAACTCTGCGAAGAATTCCAGGATAGTAAAATTAAAAATCCATGCACTTTCGTCTCTTCTGAAACTACCCCTGCAATTGTGGAGGTAATTAAAATTTCATGCAATGACAAAACTCCGGTTCTTTCCCAAGCTACCTCTTTGATCACGGAGTCCACTGATGTTATCCCTGAAGTTGTTCTTGAAATTAAAATTCTAACTCTTTCTGAACCAACTTTAGTGATTGAAAACAGTTATCCCTGAAGTTGTTCTTGAAATTAAAATTCTAACTCTTTCTGAACCAACTTTAGTGATTGAAAACATTGTTGATATTCCCCACGAAATCCTTCCGGACAAACATGACACCCAACACGTTCCTGATTTGGCTCTTGAATCGATTCACTCAAACATCTGTATGGAAGTCGAATACCAAACTAAGCATAGTGAAATAACTACCATACTAGATATCCCACCAAGTCGAATACCAAACTAAGCATAGTGAAATAACTACCATACTAGATATCCCACCACCATGCATTGTCCAAACAATCACTCACACATACACTGATCCATTTTAGGAAATTATAATGATTAGGGATACGAGCTTAAGCACGAGTGTTTTCATTTCTTTTTTCTCACATATTAAGCGCACAAAAAGACTCCGTCATACATTTGCTTGCATGTTCCTCACTATCATTGTTAGGACAAGAAAATTTTTATGTATTTTAACAAAGGGGCACCTAATTATTCCATTTGATAGAGGACGTCATGCATGTTAGATACCTCGTTGAGTTACATCTGCCATTGACCGTATTTTTCAAGTCTGCATTTCATACATAGTCATTCGAGTTGATTGCATCATTTTGTTTTGATTTGCATTGATCATATATTGGGGAATCAGTGATCTAACTTGAATAAATACATTGTTAACTGAAATGAATGATATGGAGTCAGAACCTAATTTAAAACCGTTGATGCTGATATTTTAGATGGTTTGGACTTGTCCAATACAGTTCTTTATTGCTGTTTAAGATTTGACATGATATTTATGAACTTTTCCAACTCTTGAAATGATTAATGGCAACATTTATTAATTTGGTCATAGTTCTATTTTCAATATTGAGTGATTAAACAGTCACAATGTTATTGACAGTCCACTAATATAAGCCTGACCCTGGCCTATTATTTCTAAGAGTTCTTTCACCTTATCCCCACTTCTATATATTCACCCAAGCTGCAGTGAATTTTGATAATATTTTAAATAGTGAATTTACAATGTAATTTAACTAATGATTTGAGATGCAGAAAAAATAACTGACGGCAGATTAAGATGCAGACAGAGTATATTGAAGATGACAAGTTTCTGCAGCTAACTCGACGGAGTCGAGTTTTCTCCCTCCCGGGGAGAATAATGAGGACAGGAAATGGCAATATTTGATTAGTTTATATATTTTTAAAATTTGAAATTTGAAATTTGAAATTTGAAATTTGAAATTTAGTTTAATTGTATTTGAGTGATTTGAGGGATTATTGTTTGTTTCTATTTTTATTGCATGTTGTGTGTACGTAGTTTTTCTTTATAAATAAGGTTGTATGAGTCTATTGAAAATCAATGAATTATTGATTGAAAATTAAGTTCTTCTCAAATGAGAATTTTTTTGTATTTGGTGTGTGAAACCCAAATGCCAGTTCTAGGTGTGTGAAACCCTAGTTACTTATCCCCAAATCCATCTATCCCTCCATTCCCCTAACAGATCCATCTCCACCACTCATTACAAAAAGAAAAAAAACCCTAGATCTAGTTCCCCCTCCCAGCCGTCAACCCCCATTAACTCTCATGAGTTTCTCTTCCTTAAACAACCGCAGCCTCTCCCCCGCTCTCTTCTCCTTCGAGCAACGCCGCCGACGTCCTGTTCTCCTCCACTTCCGAACAGTTTCGTCGCCCGCGTCGTCCCGCCGCCTCGTCGATATCAGATCTTCTTTCGTCGACGACCATCACCGTCCTTCGTCCTCGAATGTCGCTCGCGCCTCTCTTCGTCGTCGAACAGACCCGCAGCTCGTTTCGCCTTTCTCCACCTAATTTCAGATCGAAGAACTCATAGACAAAGGAGACTTTGGATCGGGTTTGTCTTCGGATCTGGTTATTTGATCAGACTCGATTCTAACTCAGTTGGATCTGATGGTATCAATTTCTCTTTATATTTTTCTGTTAATCTCAATTTATTAGTTAATTGCATGAATAATACATCTCTAAACTCTTATCTTATATTCACTGCTTGATTAAATTGGTGAGTCGAGAGTAACTGAACATGTGACTGTTAATCTTGATATTGATTGTAGAACTTGCACAACGATAATTAATACTGCAATTAAATTGATCGAGATTGGAATTGTTTATGACTATTGAGGCAAATCTTGTTAAAATCCATCTGTCGCATTAATTGTTTTTAAATTAATTTCCTACCGAATATTATGAATTTTGGCGAAACGGTGCGTTGTTTAAATTAGATCGCTGATTCCGATAGACTCCTCCGCCGTTTCGCATCAAACATACTTATAGAGGGAAAATCCGGTCTACTTTATTATTTCATCATCCATCTCCATTTTTTTTAGTTCAACTACTTTCATTTCCTTCCAATAGCGATTCAACAATTATGCAGGTGAAGTAGAAATGAGTCTTTTTAGACCTTTAGTGAAACTTCATTTGGTTGGGAATTGTTGCATCTTGGATATTGTATTTGTCAAACCGGTCTTTTTTGCCTTATTTATTGTAACTGAGATTTTTTCTGATTAGCTGCTGAACTAGTGCAATTTATTCTCTTCCTGTCATGCAACTGTCTGCTACGTAGAATGGGTACTAATACTGAAATCGGGTACTAATACTGAAATCGGATGTTCCTCGTGCTAAAAAAAAGATCACAGACTGATAGACATGACTTTGACATACAAACTTGACGCACATGCATACATATGAACATACACATATAAAACAGAGATATTTGCAATCTTTATGTAACATCTGAAATATATAAGAAATCTACTTTTTATTTGTCTCAATCATGGCACTTTATGTGAAGGAACTTAGATGTTTAAGGGATTATCATATATCATTTCGTATTTGAAAGGAACAATTATTTATATATGTGTTAGGTGAGAGTAACATGACCAAGTTTAGATCTTTATAGAATTACTAAAAATAAATAAGTATTTAGCCTTCTTAATGCCAACCTGGAACCTTTATGAAGTAACCTGATAGCCTGCTTAAGTTTGAACACAATAAATTGTTTTATTTTTACTTTTTCTTGATCTGGGATATTAACATATAAAACCAAAATCCTATATGAAATATCTACAAATAATCTACTAAGTTTAATCATATTGTTTTATTTTGACTTTTGCTTGATTTGGGAAGTTTAGGCATATACCTGAGATGCTACTTTTGAGGAATGTTGTATCAAGGCTTAGTTTTATGCCCATGGGAGAAATGCATTTACCGTGAAAATTATTGTCATTGTTTCTCTATTCCCGACTCTTGCTTACATGGAAAATTTAGAGAACTTCTTGGATGAACTTAAACTTCATGACCCATCTCTCAATCCGCTAAGTGACTTCCATTTCACTACATTATTCATTTCTTGCCATATAAGATTTCCTATTTTCACTGCATTATTATTGTCTTGCCATAGTTTCTTTATCTCAAGATTTTGCACCAAAAGGCAAAGGGTGACAACATTTTGTACAGAATAGGTCAAGAGTAAACTGTTGTGATTGGAAAAAATTTTAGTGTGTTTTGTGTATTTGTTGCATAATTTCAATTGTTAGATCTCGGAGGCACTTAGAATTAATTTTCTGAAAAGTCTGTGGTTGTTAAAGAGGAGTACCAAAATGATGTGGTCCAGCTTGTAATTTTTACATTTACCAAAAAAAACCTTTATTTGCTCAATATCTCTAAATCTTTTCAAAATTACAACTGCAGTGAAGATTCTAGTAGTGGAGGTGGTGACTTTCTTGTTGGTTTCCTTTTGGGAGGAGCAGTATTCGGCACACTAGCTTATGTCTTTGCTCCCCAGGTGATTCTTCCATACCCATATGGAAACCCTTGTCAATTCTGTTTATCAAAAAGATAAAGCAAATGAAATGATTCACTAGCATTTGACATAAAAAGTACGGACTAGTCCATGCGAGCACATATTCTTTCATATTTAGTATGATATATTGTTATATTTGCTATGTTTTAATTTACATGCACATATCATAATCCTCCATAATTCAATCATGCATTTTAACTTGATAAATTGGTGTATATAGATAACAAGTGGAGCCATTCAAAACATTATGGCCGGTATAAATGCCAAATGTCTAGGTCACTACAGTATAATTAACATCAACAGGAGTTCCAAATAAACTTTTTCAAGTACTCTATTCATCGGAAAGAAATAGTAGACAACTGTTTTGGAGCGTGTTCCGAATGGGCCAAGCTTAGATAATGACCATAAATTAAGTTAGTTGAATGGTTGTTCACTTGTATACATCGAATTCTTTTACATTTCTTAAATTATCCGACATGTCTAGGTATTTATCAATTACCGCCAATTATGTTCAGATCCTAAATTCTACAGTGACAATTGCTATTAAGGAATGAAAATAGAATATTCCTATGTTTTTTTGCTACGGAAATTATTTTTTAAATATGATTAAGCTCTCCTTTCTCCTTCCTTTCCCATTCTAGCATTCACTCTTTCGTTCTTTCTGTTAGACCCTAGAGGTGGGTGATTAGGGTCTTATGCTAATCTAATCCGATTATATGTCAATTAAAATTAATTAACAAGATATCCTAGTAAGTATGAAATACAACAATATATATGAACTAGGATAAGCAATATGAACAACAAGATATATCCTAACAAAGAGATATAGGCAATGTATGTGCAAGGATATATAAACTAACACAAAGGTGATATAATTAAACTACAAATGTGATAGTGTAAAATAAACAATGCAAACACACAATATGATCACGGAGTTCGGACCTTCCCTCTTACGTCTTCGCTCCCCACTCTCGGGGAGAAATCCACTATCACAACCGGGTTTTCTACGTTCACCCGAATAACGTTTACACCTCACACTCGGTTTTCTAGCTAACCAAAAACGTTACAATCACCACTCCTGCAATCCCACTCTACACCCTCTCAAGTGTTGAGCTAGACGTGTCTCCCTCAAGTGCTCGGTTACAACCTCTTCCTAGGTTCGTCAACCGACTCTCGTCACACACTTCTCTCGGTGTACAAGTGTATTACAAAGTGAATCTCATAATAAGGTTCAGTACAATAAATGTTTGTTATCTACTATGGATGAGAACACAATGAAAGCTCATACTCAATTGTTACAACTCTCACCAACCCAAAATATATTATGAATGTAAATACAATAAGCTCAAGTGGTTGTGTGTAACAATGAGATAAAATCAAATCTAACTCAAATAGCAAACTAGCAACAATAAGAATATGAAAATAAATAATAAAATTGTTAGAGAAAAGAGTTAGAAAACTTCTCAATAGATCAAGAGGTAGAAGGAGAATAGTTGGATGTCCAAACACCAATAGATGATCTCCTCAAGCTCTTGTGAAATTGATTTCTCAAACTCAAACTTTCAAATACTTAAAAGCTTCTTAAAACACTTAAATCAAACTAAAACCCTTGTTAAAACTCTTTTAAACTTGGTTAAAAACTCTCTTAGATGATAGAAAATAGTTATGGCAAAGGGGTATATATAGGCTTGAAGAAACCAACCCCAAAAACCCAAAAAAAACATTTTGCAACGGCTCTAAAAAGAGCCGTTGGAACTACAACGGTCAACCGAGGAAAATCGCGGTCCACCGCGAGCAAGGTCAGAAACAGATTTGTTTTCCAGAGAGTTCGTCGGTCGACTGCACTGTAGCGCGGTCGATTGATAGTACTGTAGCACTATATATGCAGCTCTGTAAAATCAATTAAAAATAGTAAATCAACTCCAAAAATTATGAAATTTTGAGGGAATGTTCTAGACATGTATAAGAACATGTTAGAGAAATAATTTCTGAAAAATCATTTCCCAGTTGAGAGAAATAAATGTTTGAACACAGAAATACAGTTTCTGAAAATCTGCTGTGATACATGATTTTGTAAAATCAATTCGGCATAGTAAATCAACTCCAAAAATAGTAAAATTTTAAGGAAAGTTTCTAAACATGTAGATAAACATGTCAAAGAAAGAATTTCTTGAATACCTCTTCCCATTTATGAAAACTCATCTGTTTTGTAAAACATGCACGAACATGTGCACGAACAAAAACATGATTTTGTAAATTCCATTAAACATAACATATCAATTCCAAACTTGATGAAACTTTGTAAAATGTTTATAAACATGAAAACAAACATGTTACAAAAATAAATTTTCAATTTTTATTTCTCAATTGTGAAAACTCATTATTTTGTAAAAACATGCATGAATATGAATTTGTTAAGAACATGTTTTTGATAAAAAGAGTTTAAACGTATATTGAAACTTTATGAAATATCTTCATAAATATTATAACACATGAATATAAAGTAAGCATGGTCAATAAAATAATATCACAAAGTTTTCTCAAAATAACTCATTTTGTGAGAAAATCCAATATTGTGTGTGTATATGATATTGAGCTTAGAGTATTAAACACACATAATATAAACCTATACTAAATATACCCAAGTTTGATGAAGGTCTTCAATGAGCATGACTTGGTAAACTTTACGGAAGAAGCTTGAACTTGATCTTTAACTTTGAATTGCATAAGCTTCACTCCACAATTCCGCCAACCTCCATTTGATATCGTCGTTGAAGTGCTATTCCATCCATCCTCCAACAACGTTGTTTGTCTATAATATATAGGAACACAAATACTAAACAAACAATATTAGTGGTAAATTGTTTGTTAAACATCATCAAAATAAGAAGACCAACACTTTCTTAGGGAACTGGACTAGACGTATGTTTGCGGATCCCCAGAGAGGGAGATTCTCCTCTCTCTCCCCCCTCCCCCCCATCCTGATCCAAACCCGAGTTTGGTCTAAATCCCTGCAAAGAGAGGACTGAAATAAAGAGGGGAATATTGAGGAGTCATGTTTGTTGGAGGAAGAAGAGGGAAGAAATTTTTATGGGGTTTTTGAAGGAGAAAGAAGACCAAGAACATTGGTGAAGTAAAAGAGAGTAGAATAGGAATTCTATTAGATTTCTAACAGAAGGTAACTAGAGGGGTAATAATTTGGAGCTTGAAGGCAGATTTAGAGGTAAATTAGTAAATGTGTACATATTTGGGGTAACTTTAAAAGTAACCAATATTATAGATTTATAAGAGAGAACCTTAATTAAGCAATACCATTGAGCACACTAGTATTGCTTAGGAGTGAGATCTAACTTGGCCCTTTTGGCTCCTATATTGTGGTTGCTACATGAATGCAGGTTATAGCAAATCTTCTCTTCCCCGTCGGTCTAGGACTTGTCATCATTATCCAGATTTTGATCCTTTGTCGCCCAAGTTTAAATCATAGGGAAACAAGGAATATCATTGGACTTTATAAGGAGCTCCTCTCTTGTTTCTAGTTCAAATTTGATAATACAAAGGTTGGCAGAAAATTCTAAAAATTTGTTAGTTTTAGTAAATTTATTCATGTAGCTCGTGCTCGCCAACCCAAATATTTGGACAAAGGTTGAATGATTAGTCCCAGTGTTATCAATGCGGGGTGCAATGTGGGGCACATAGTCCCTTTACGTGCACATGCCCAAGGGGCAATGCGATGCGCACACCTGAGTGAAGCGAGGCGAGACACACTCCGCATATATAATTCAATTAATCATAAATTATTCTTAGAATCACAATTTTATGCTACTGTATTACATCATTATATTACTAATTTCTTTCTCTCTACAGGTTACATTGAGAATTAACTAGTAGCATCAACTAGCAATGAATAAATACGAGCATGAATCAATAAGCTTGAACAAAAGAAGTTTTCTACAAACATATGTTTCAAAAAATTATTGCAATACTCTTTATATCCTAACATGTAGAAGCATATTTAAAGTTAATAATTAATCCTAAATAACTATCTTTTAAGCTAGGTTACCCGAACACTTCATTTAGGCTCCCGTATCCGTGTCCCATGTTCGACACTTCCTGGACACTTCTTTTGAATGTATACATCTATTTATATGTGTACTCAATTATATAACACACTTTAATTCAAAAAAATCGTGATACACTTCTCAAACATATATTGCACACTTCACCTCAAATTTATGCAACTCATTAAACTCGAGACAGGTTTGTTTTAGCACATACCTAGTTTATAAGTATGATTTTAAAGGGTTGCTTGGGTACTAGTTCAAAAATAAGCGAATTTTTAATTTATAATCTATTCGATGAAAGAAACATAAAAATGATATAAGGATTTTAATTTTCATAACACATGAATGAAAAACAATATCAACCTCATATAGATTATTAATTTTAATATGTATGTATATAGCCGTATCCTCGTATCCTAATTTTATAATTTTTTTGTGTCCCGTGTCTGCATCTGTGTTCGTGTCCGCGCACCTATATCCGTGCAACATAGCTTTTAACTGAATATGGTTTAGCTAATTATACAATGTAAAAAACAAATGGCTATGCAAACTCCCCAAGTACAAATTTATTCTTAGAATTATAGTTTTATGCTTCTGTATTACATCATTATATTACTGATTTCCTTCTATCTACAGTTTACATAGAGAATTAACTAGTAGCATCAGCTAGCAAGGATAAATACGAGCATGAATCAGTAAGCTTGAACAAAAGAAGTTTTCAGACAAACATATGTTTCAAGAAATTATTGCAATACTCTTTAAATCATAACATGTACTAGCTTATTTAAAGTTGATAATTAATCCTAAATAACTTTGATAATTAATCCTAAGTAAGTACCTTTTAACTGAAAATGGTTGAGCTAGTTATACAGTGCAAAAAACAAATGGCTATGCAAACTCTATTCAACTTTGGCAATGGTG